GGAGGGAAGGAAGGAAGAAGAATAGGAAACAGAAAGATGAGGAGAGGAGAGGAGAGGAGAGGAGAGGAGAGGGAGGAAGAGATTCAGGAAGGAAGGAAGGAAGGAAAAGGAGTGAGGAAGGAAGGAGGGAGGGAGGGACGAAGGAAGGAAAAGGAGTGATGAAGGCAGGCAGGCAGGCTGTTTTGAATTATTTTGGAAGGAGAAAAAACTGAAAGGAATTGCATGATTTGAGAGTCTGGGGACTGACAGTTTCCAGTGCCAGTGGGGGTGGGTCAAGACTGCCACTCCAGACATGGGTACATAGAAACCAGGACTGCCTGCATCACCATCCTGGGTCAAACTGCCTCAGGGACAACCTGGCCCTTCCTTTTGCTGGAGCCATTTGCATTCAGGCGGAATTTCAGTGCACGATCACCGTGGCTGAGAAAAGGGGCAGAAACCGATTAGAACAGAACAGGAAAGCTGTTTATTTACCACTTGAAATCGCCACCGAACCACTTCTGGTTTCCTGATGCCACGAGGAGTCCTGGGCTTATCTTCACAACCCAGGAGGGTTGCTGCACAAATCCGGGGCTCTCTCCTGCACGTGCTTTGCACGATTTCATGTGAGGGAGAACACGGTTCTGTGCTAAATGACAGAGGTGCCAGCGCTGATTTTTCTTTTCTTCCACTTATTCCCTGCCTTTTCTTTCAGCATAGGCAAGGGCCTGTCCTGATTTTAGGAAACATCCCTGGAAAGTAGATCGGGCCCCTTAGCTCTGGGGTCAAGTAGGGGCTTGAACTGAGGTTCTAGATCAATTCTGTTAATTGTAATGGAGGAAAAAATTATTTCCTGATTATGGATAACAGGCATATGTGGGTTTGGTGAGAGGTAACAATCTGTGTTTATCACAAAGGTTTAGATTCAGCCCCAACAACGCAAGAGAGAGACTAAGGCAATGAGCTTCATGCTTAAAAATGTGTGTTGCGTTCAATTTCTAGAGCCGTGTTTCTCAGCTTTAGCAGCTTTAAGATGGGTGGACTTCAACGTGCTGGCTGGGGAATTCTGGGAGTTGAAGTCCACGAATGCTGGCTGGGGAATTCTGGGAGCTGAAGTCCACCCATCTTAAAGGTGCTGAAGCTGAGAAACACGGCTCTAGAGTACGGTGGTCTGTGAGTTGTTTTTCAGCAAAATAATAGGAAGATGAAAACTCTGAATAGGGACCGTCTGAATTTTCCCCTTCCAAACTAATATGCCGATAGGAACGTCATTATTCCGATCCCGTCCATGCGGAGGTTTGGTTTTCCCTGCTTGAGGAGTGTGCACAAGCCCACGTGCGCATTAAACGTCCCAAAGCACGTCTCCAGATGGGTAGACTGGGAGTAACGCAACCCAAGGACGCCTGGCTTTTCTTTGCGGCGCCTTTAACCAAGGAATGCTCGAGCTGAGATGACTTGGCTGTTTGCTCTGAAACCTCCAGAAGTTAGAGGCGCGTAACCGAGGAGCCGGGCCGTTTCTGCGTGCCAGCCCCGCTTTGCAAAATCTTCTGCAAACAACAGAAAACTCAGCCTGCTGGAATGAATTCCCCCTCCCTGTCCCGGCATTCCTGTCCCCTCTTTTGAAATCTGGCTCTGGAAGATAAACGGAGCGTGTTTCCACTAAATCCCAGGCTCCACACCAGGGACATTTCTTTCATTCCACCCCAGAAGGAACCAAGGCTTTGGGGAAAAAAGAGGAAAAAAAAATAAAAGAAGTTCCCCGTTCTTGGGTTTGGATTCCAGCGCCTTTTCCAAATGCACCAATTGCAAGGACGGTGTCCTCTGGCCTCGGCCGGGGGCTGCTCTGCCAAGCAAGACCCGTGTTTGGCAGCTGGCGATGGGTCGGGTTCAGGGGCTGAATGCCCACCCTGCCAATCCTACGGAAAGAGCCCCGTGAATTGCAACCCCGATTCGCCAACTAGTTTTCCTTTTTCTACCCAAAGGCAGCGTGGTGCAATGGTTGAGGCTCTACCAGGAGTGCTAATCTCCACTTCAGTGTGAGGCTCACTGGCCTGGCCTACCTGGTTGGGTGGTTGTTGGGGTAAAACGAGAGAGGGACATGTCATAAGCCGCTTTGGGCCGCTGGCAGGAAAGAGGGGTGAGAAACGAACAGGAGGGCACAAAAGTTGATGTGCTCTGATTCCCATTAGCCCGGAGATGATCGGAATTGTATTTCGACCTACTTGGAGGCTTTCATTGATCCCTTACTAATAGTCTTTTTTGTTCTGATTTAGCTATAACCTACCTTTCTGCCTACAGGGCACTCAAGGTGGCTAAGAACAGCGAAAGAGCTAGGATGGGAAAAGTGGGGGGGGGGTTGCAAATGACAGCCCCCTCCCCAGCAATAAAAGTACTCTTTAAATTGGGAAAAGAAATACTGATGAAAACCAGTTGGTTACAACAGCAAGCAGTGACCAGCCCTAATAGGCAGATCGTTGCTTTTCAAAATCGAGGTCAAACCTGACGTGGTGGAGCTGATTGGAAAATCCATACCTGTGCCACGTGAAATGGGCATCTGTTGGATTAAAGGCGCCCCTTCTGTCAATTGGATGGCACTTGGTGCTGGTTTTCTGGCATCAGGATTAAGATTTCCAATCGTGCCCTGGATGCGGGTTTGATATGCACGCTCCGGGGCTCAGCATCTTTGGGATCTCAGCTCTGTTCTTTCCAACAGTTGGAGGGATGGCTGGCATCAAGCGCCCGGCTTCCCAACCCAGCGAGCAGCCGACTGGGAAGAAGGTGGTGTCCGAGCCGGCGGTCCCAAGTTCTGCAAATCCAGCAAGGCAACATCTTCCTCTTGAATCCAGAACAGAACCAGCTGTGTCGGGGCGTTCTCTGGCAACGGGCACCTCTCCGGCGGTCCAAGTATGAAACACCATCCTTTTGTCCTGGAGGCTGAATCCGTGCGTGTGTGTTTGTGGGTGTGGGTTTACCGGCAGCTGGATGTTTCGGAATGGAACCTCCATGGCCCAAGAGAGTGTACCCCAGGATAATGGAGGCTTAGGAATGAGGACTGTGATCCTCCAGATCACTGCTTCTGAACCTTTTTGAACCCACGGCACAATACTGAACGTAGTAGAGGTTCTGTGGCACGCCAGGAAATGATTAATCCTATATACGTCTTTTTAAATGTGTAAGACGTGGTCCGAGGGGAAGCGATGCAATTTTTCGAAAAAGGTCTGCACTGCGTTGAATGTGTGGATTATACAGAATATTCATAATACCAAAAAAGATGAAAAAAAAAATAAGATAAAAACTCTTGGGGCGCTCAACCGGCACGCCGGTTGAGAATCGCTGCTCTGGATGTAATCAGTTACTGATGGAGGCAGGACGTAGAGCAAGATTAAGGGATGTTGGTCTTTCAAGACGGTAAGCAGGGTCATCCTGGGGTGGGAGGCTACCAGGAGCTCCCAAAATTGCAGGCTAGACTGGGAAAGTGGAAAAACGTCTCGGGAGGAGGCAGTGGCCAATTTTCTATGACGTTGCCTGTAATGGACAGGTCCATGAAGTCACCCGAAGTCAACCCTGACTTGAAGGAGATGTTATTTTTTTACCTGATCTGGCCAAGTCAATGTGTGAATGTTTTCAAAAGTTTTGCTTGAATCTGTCTGGCTCCTTGCCTAGTGTCTAGAGCAGTTTCTCAACCATGGCCACCTTTATACAATCCTGGGTCTTTCCCCCCCACACCACACCCCCCCCCCCCACCGCCCCCGCGCCGGGCGGGGGGCGGCTGGTGGG